TCCCTGGCTCTTGCTCTTCCATGCCTCCCCTCCATTTACCAGATGCCCATCCTGGTAACCCTGGGGTTCTGCCCCCACCTGGCCATGCCCAGCAGCACTGTGGCCAGTGGCCAGCCCCTCTTCACACCTGGCAGGTCCCTGCTTCCTGTGGGGTGGTGGAGTGCAGACGCACCTCACTGCCCCTTGCCCCAGGGCACCCACAGTCTGTGGCACGCCCCTCACCACCCACTGCTCCCTGCCCTTCCAGCACCGTCTCCAAGCAAAGGAAGAATGTCATCAGCTGCGTCACGGTCCATGACTCCCCCGACTCCGACTCCTCCAGCAACAACAGCCCCTACTTGGGGGGGCAGCAGCGGGCCGGCCACAGCGGCAGCCACGCCTTCGACAGCAAGGGCGGCCTGGACGTCCACTGCCCCGGGAATCCCCGAACAATCATCGTGCCACCCCTGAAGACCCAAGCCAGTGAGGTGCTGGTGGAGTGCGACGGCCTCGTGCCAGGTAACGGGGGGCTGGGGTTCTGTGTCCTGCCTCTGGACGTGGGGCTGTAGGCGTCAGTGAGGTACAGGTGCTGGGGCAGCAGCTGGTCCGACCTGCTTCATTCAGGCGGCCGAGCCGGGGTCCTGCTTATTAGCGGCATGCTCCGTGGCAGCGTCTTCATTTTTAGGTCTGTGACATCTGCCTGCCTTTACAATGGCCCTCTCTAGTGGCACAATGCCTAAGGCGTGTGACCGCTAATTAGAAGGTTGGTGGTTCGAATCCACCAGCCACTCCACAGAAGGAAGATGAGGCCATGTACTTCTGTAAAGATTTACCACCTCGGAAACCTGGTGGCGTTGCTGAGTTGGAATCAACTCGTGGTGATGGGTTTGGGGTGTTTTCTTTTTCCTCCTCCTTCCACTCAGCTAGTAAATAGAGACCGGTTGCCGCCCTGTCCCCTCCAGCTCCTATGGAGCTGTGCTTCGCGTTGTTTTAGTGGCTGGATTTTCAGTAGATTGTCAGGCCTTTCTTCACAGGTACCTCTGGATGGGTTCAAGTCTCCAGCCTCTCCGTTAGCAGGCAAGCATGTTAACCTTTGCACCACCCAAAAAACCTCTCTGCCTTCAAGTCAATTCCAACTCACAGCACCCCTAGAGGACAGAGTAGAACTGCCCCGCAGGGTTTTCAAGGCCATCATTCTTTATAGACACAGATTGCCACTTTTCGTATGGAGCAGCTGGTGGGTTAGAACCAGTGACCTTACGGTTAGCAGCCAGGTGCTTACCCAGTGCACCAACAGGCCTGTCCATTTCTGCAAAGGTTGCATTTCATCTGGAATAAAATGTAAACATTACCAAGTGGCTAAGAAGCTCTGAGGTTATTCAGACAAAATAATACTAATAATTAGCATTCTTCTCAGTATGGTTACTGGCTCTGAAGCAGCCGGTGCTGCTGTCTCTGAGGAGAGCTTCATCCTCCCGGGAGGCTGTGTGCAAACTCCTGGTGGCGGGTCAGAGCAGGAAGGGCCTACATTCCTATGCCTTTCCACACAATCCTTCCATGTTTCTCAGAGCTAAGCTACGTCCTTAGCACCCAGTCACCCCCACACACAAACACATACACACACACAAAAAAAAAACCTCACTCCCCTTGAATCGATTCAACTCTCAGCGACCCCTCCTTGGGTTTCCGAGGCAGTATCACTACGGAAGTAGATTGCCCAACCTTCCTTCTGAGGAGTGGCTGGTGGGTTTGAACCGCCAGCCTCCTGGTTAGCAGTCAATGCCTTAGGCACCATGCCACCAGAGTTCCTACAATCACCCCAGGCGTACCAAATCTGGAAGAGAGTCCTCCTTGGCCTCTCGGTACCCAGGTGGCCCGTACCAGCCCTGCAGGATCTGTTTAAGGATGGTGGGTGGCCCTTCCCACAGTCACTGGATTATTTCATCTCGGTGATCATTCTCTTGTGCCTGGCATTGCTTCTGGAGAGAAGCGGCCCAGCTCTAGAGAGCCAAGAGCAGGCCAAGCAGCAGCACCCTAACACCAGCCCCACGTGACGCCTTCACCGCGCCCGCCCTGAGGAACCCCAGTCCCGCCGTGCTGGGACTCAGTGCACATAGATGGCTCCGCACACAGGCTGACAAGGACGACTCCTCTGATGTAAACCTCCTCACCCTGTTAACTCTGTCCCAGATCTTGGTCCCTCTGGGATGTACTGTGGTCTTGTTTGTTGGGACTCCCTTTCCATTTCCTGCTTAATCTGTCACTAGGCCTCACTGCGTCCCAGCTGATAGGCACCTCCACGCCGCAGCCTGGATGGAACCGTGACAGGACATAAAGAGTGTTCCTTCTACCTCTGTCACACTCTCCATAGCCTTTTTTTCAAGTTCCTAAAGTAATTCTAGAGTCCAACAAGCTGTACAAAAAAGATAAATCACAGAACACGCCTGTTGTCAACAAAAGCCACAGGATTAAAAGTATTCTAGTTACGTTGTAAACATTTGACCCTCACCAGCACCTTTGGAGGGAACAGGGCTCCACCCATGTCCCGGATGGCAAAGGAACCCCTCCCAGGAGGGTCACTCAGGCCTGGTGTCAGGCTGTGGTTCTTTTTCTTTTTTCTTTTTTTATTTTGTGATTTGGGTGAAAGTTTACAGAGCAAATTAACTTTCCATACAGCACCTTATGTACGCTTTGTGTCATGACATTGATTGCAATTTCCCACAATGAGCAGCTCCCCTCCCACTTCCTCCCAATAGTTACCTCTTCCCCGTGTCCATCTCTCCATGCTGACGGACCTGAGTTGTCTCCCTGTGCAGACACAGCCCTCCTTTCTCCCACAACTGATCCCTCCAAGGAGGGTATCTACCAGACTGTGGTTCTTGACATCTCTGCTGGCCCTTTCCCATTGTCCTTTGCTCCGTCTGACCCTCAGGGGCCCAGCCGCCCTTGCAGCCCAGGGAACACACCAGAGCCCGGCTGCCAGTGCCGAGCCGAGGATGGCCCTGTCGGAGCTGAGCTCCTGGGGAGACAGCTGGTTCGAGATCAGCAGGCCTCGGCGGCTGCTCCTCCCAGAAGCCCATTGGCTCCTCTTAAGGGGCGTCATCCCCCGGGCAGTGAGGCTCTATGGCTAACCAGTGGCCTGTCCCTCTCCTAACAGTCAGCACCAGCCACCACTCGGCCTTCTACAAGTCCAAGTCCTCCAGCAACGTGACCTCCACCAGCGGTCACTCTTCAGGGAGCTCGTCTGGGGCAATCGCCTACCGGCAGCAGCGGCCAGGACCACACTTCCAGCAGCAGCAGCCCCTGAATCTCAGCCAGGTCAGCCCCCCCGGCAGCCCCCGTTCCAGCGTACTCACGGCCTTGGGCCACCCAGAGAGGTGCCCAACCCTCACCCAGCTCCCAGGAGGCAGCGAGGAGTGGACAAGATGACTTCAGCACCTCCGTCCTCTTGAGGACTGTTCTGGTTCCCTAGTGCAGCTCTGACCAGAATATACCACAAATGGGGTGGCCTTAACAAACAGGAGTTTATTCTCACAATTTGGAGGCTTTAAGTCCAAGTTCAAAGTGCCAGGCTCTAGGGCCTGGGTGAAAGCCCCTCAGCCTTGGGCTTTAGCTCTGCCTCCTCTTCCCGGCCCAGTGGAGCTAGAGGCGTTTCTTCACTCAGACAGCTGCTGGCTGCTGAGGCTGCCAAGCCCAAGGTTGATGAGTAACAAGGCACAGTCCCAATGTTACCAAACCCATGGCAGGCCATTAACTCAACTCCATTGTTAGTCCTGAGAGCGGCAGAGCATAGCAGGCTGCTGAACAACGACACGGCTACATGCTGGGCTCAAGGTGCCATAAGCTAGAGACCATTCCCAAAACTGCTGCTTATATACAGGAAGCAGACCACATACCCAAAGGCAGCTACTCAGCTGCTTGTGGTAGATCCCATCATGGAGCTGATTGCCAGTCTCATCATGGGGAATGACTACCACCAGCTGCCCAGCCACTCAACCAGGCCCAGCCAAGTTGACACAAAAACATAACCACCACAGGAAGTCAGGACCACTGGTTCACAAAGAACAGAACCAAAGCGAGGAACTTGCCTCGTGTTACCAAGCACTCGGTGTCCTGATGCCAGAGCTTAAAAATAGGATGACCCATGCGTGGGGTGGGGTGCGGTCCCAGCCCAGGATACAGGCCTGGAGTCTGAGGAAGACAGATTGATTGACTGACACATTGCAACGTGAGAGGCCTCACCCCCAAGCCCCCAGTACAGGAGAGGACTCACTCTAGGATTGGGAGGGGAGGCTCAGAGCTGGGCAGGGCTGCGTAGGATGGGCCAGAGGGGACCCGGGCCATTTTGAGGGAGCTCCGTTAAGGGGAACATGGCATTGTGCACTGAAGCCTGCCCCTGCTGGGCCACGGAGCTCACGTCTGTGTGGTGACAAGGCTCCCGGTGTGAGTGGGAGGCTTCATTTGAGCCAGTAGAAGTCCACACAGCCAAGTGTCTGAGTGTGTGGTGTTCAAGAATATGCTTCCTAGGGAGTAAGAAAGTAGCCTCCACTCACAGAAGGGTCCTTGACACCTGGCAGCTGCATATGTCCTACAGTAAAGCCAAGTCTGTTAACTTCACAGGCACCTTGATGGGACGCTGTCCCAGGTGGTGATGCCAGGCTCCCTGACAGGACACTGTCCCAGCTGGTGATGAGGGAGGGGTTCCCTGACAGGAAGCTGTCCCAGCAGTGATGGTGGGCTCCCTGACAGGAAGCTGTCCCAGCAGTGATGGTGGGCTCCCTGACAGGAAGCTGTCCCAGTGGTGATGGTGGGTTCCCTGACAGGACACTGTCCCAGCCAGTGATGGTGGGCTCCCTGACTGGGC